CACACACACACACACACACACACACACCGGTGTTTATGTGTATGACTCATAAATCACGTCTGGCTGGGTTTCACGGATTCGAAATCACGGCGCCTTCAGTAAATTTGCATCCACGCTGGAAAGAAAAGCAGCTCATCTTTTCAGAAAGCAGTTTGTCTCGGCACTTCCTGTCTCTTTTCACCTCTTTCAAACACCAACTCGGGCAGGAGACGCTGGAGTTTTGGCTTTACGAGCCATCTGCAGCGCTGCCTGAGTGTTACCAGGTTTTACAAGGCAGACTATTAAAAACAACAAACTTGAAGACAATAGCTAATTTTCCACATAAAAAAAGAGAGCATCACACGTTGGCTCCTCTGTTGATTAGAGGGTACATTAAGCCTCCATGGCCTTTTTCTCCTCTGAGAGTTGCTTACATAATAATCTCCTACATCATCTCCTCCTTTTCCCTCCATTCATACTACTGATCAAATCTAAATAATCATCATCTAGTCTCCAGTTTCTGTTTCACTCAGCACTGTGAACACGCCTACTGGCGCCCTCCTTTTCCTCTCCTCCACTCCTGAGTGCTCATTGATGATCATACATGAATCGTATGATGAAATGCCAATCGCCCACCTAATACCCTCTTATCGGCTGACCTTCAAATCTGCCCCTGTGTGTTGCAGACTGTGCAACATTCACACAGACTCATGTCTTTACTTTTCTGTTTGGGATGATAGATGTGGCTAAAAGGATAATCATAGAATAAATCTCTTGCCAGAGATTTAAACTACGATTATCTCATGTTGAGAAATGAAAGCATTGTTAACGCTTTTGGTCACACTTGATTTTTCCTTTGCCTTTGCATGATTCTAATCAAAATTGGGAGATCCTCTACAATTTGTTAGTATTCAGCTACTAACATACCAAATCACAGCTCAATGAGCTGAATGAGTTGTAGCCGTTTATGTTTGCTTCGGCTGATTAACTGTGGCGGCCGTCGTGAACTGCTCCAAAGTAGTGGGGTAGTAGGAGAGAAGCACAAAGGGCGATAACTGTTTCTGACCTGCACTACACTTTTTAACCTGTTGAGGCACCAGATCAAAGTTGTTGACCGATATTTATTCACCCTTTGTTTTTTTCAGACTCATATTTACCAAAGTGTGACTTCATTAGATAGATGCTAAAATACTCAAAGATGAGGAACCAGTTTTGTCTTTTATGGCAATTTATTACAAAAATATAGCAAAACTCAATGTCATTGAATCATGAATAAAAACAA